CTCCGCCTCGAGCAAGCGCCACAGAAGTAGCTCGGAAAGCAAAATAAAATTAGACCAAAAAGAGAGATGAAACAATTCCAAGTTTCGTGCTGCTTTTCTTGTGGGATTTTGTAATAACAGAGTGTCACTAACTAGTACTGTTTTTTTTAATGACTTCACACAATTTCAGCTTGATTGCAAACAAAACGTTATTTAAGGCCACTGCTTTTATATATAGAATTAAAACTGCCATGTAACGGGTCAGACGTTAAATCAATACTTGGGATATGTTTTTGATATCCGGAGCTCCTATAAAGAAAAGAAAAGGGTCATGACACGCACCATTTGATCTTCTCTCTGTGTCTGTTCCTTCACAAACTCTTGATAAATCTCTATGGGGACCAAGTTGTCTGAGATGGGTTATAAAGCATGTGTGTGTGTGTGTGTGTGTGCTGCTGGTGTATTTCAAGGTCAACACTTTCCTCTGTTGCATTTAATCAATAACGTCTGATTTTTTTTTTCCTCGCTCATCTTCTTACTTTTAACTTTTCTCGTCAGCATAGAATTCGGCGAATAAGCCAAAGCCTAAATGGTCTCTTGTGAATGAAGTGGATTGAGACTGGGCTCTTCAGCATGCATGAGCAGCACTGATAAAGTAACTACGCATATCAATCTTGTGTGGTGGTGTGACCGCATGATTCTCACCATTCCTCGGGATACAAGGAATTAATCCATGCACAAGTGACACATGCACGTTATAGCCCACCTTATCACATGCATGGCAATGAGCACACTCTGTCAAACTATATGTGTGCATTTTGAGGCTTGCTCCTGTGTCTGGTTATTAGTTTCAGTGAGAGATGTCCTGTCTCCTGAACAAAAACAAACATGGCGGGCGGTGACAAATCAATTAATCAGTCTGGGCATTTGCCGATAGTTATGTTTCACTTAGGACTAATGCTCATCGAATGTTTCAGAAAGTTTCCAATAACGCATAGACAACACTTTCAATCAGCATCCTCTAGTGCCGCGGTGATCAATGATTGTCAGAGCAGATAGATTGGTGTCCCGGCAGAGGCTGTTATGAGCGATGCGAGCAGGCTTCAAAAAATGGTGCTACGACGCAGGGGAAAAGACTGGTGACAAGAGAGACATGAGTTCTACATGTCCTTTGTTTATTTAAATGATTTACTTTACATTTATTTACATTCAACAATGAAATAAAGGTTATGTTTGGGCACTTTTGGTACTGATCATCACCGTTATTTACTTATAACTTGCCACAAAAGCCCTGTACTTTTCACAACCGTTGAAATCGCCAACACAGATCAGAGAATCAAGCCGTTGAAATACACATACTTGTATATTTTGTGTTCTCCCTGTGTGCTTTAACTACTGTCCTGTAAGGGGGTGCAACATTGATATATCCCCCTGTGAGACGAAAAGGATATTTGATCTTTTCTTATCATAAGGGGCAGTTCACCAAAGTGTTGATAAATGTTGTTGATTGTTGAGTGTCCTGGATCAATACCACTGCCCTTTTTGTTAGACCTTCACAAGGGTCTAACAGACCCTCCTGCATTGGAAAGGAAAAACTCTAAAACCCAGTGGGAAAAGGGAAAAGAAACCTAGGAGAGGTCCATATTGACACAAGGATCCACTCCCACGAACGGACGGGCTATAAATCCAGGACTCAGTCGACAGAACAAGGACCAAAGCCACACGGTGCAGAACAAGGACAGTAAAGCAAAGACTGTTTGGCCTCTCTAATCACTTGTGGTTGATAAAAGTATTCTCCTTGGCATCCTTGTTTGAATGAACAGGTGTAGGTGTAGTGGTACCTTTGCATTTGTTTCTGGTTAGCTCCGCTTTGTAGCATCAAATGGTAGTGGCCATTTCCCCATGTTTAAACCAGTGGGGGCGGGTCCCGGCTCCAAAGGGTCCATGAGCATGAGGCTGACATGCTTGCAATACCCCTCCGGGCCATTGGGGGTGGAATAAGAATTACCCAATGCTTTTGTATGGCGTCTTCTTTCCTCTCAAAAACGTCTTTACAGGTTGGTCCAAAGGTGGACTCTTGGCCCAACGCTACGTTCCAGATGTGTGTCAACGCCGAGGAGAGTATTTTATTGTGGACCAGTCTAGTTAAGCTGCTGTGGACTGGTGCCAGCTAACACATACGCAAATGTGGGTTTTTTCAAATTTTCCTGCCCTGCGACCATTCTGAAAAAGCCTCATGAAAGGCAAAAGTGGTGGCACAATGGTTTCAACGGCGGAGATAGGCGTGACTACGTTATTATTTACGGTCTATGGCAGGGGTGTCCAAAAATGTTAGTAAGAGGGCCACTTTAGTTCATCAGACTAGTCCAGGGACCGACGTCACAGAGTGAAAGACTGTCTTGACAGGCATTTGGCTGTTCTGAGTTTTAAAATGATCTATAAAAGAGGTACAGTTGGCGGAATGACAAATGTTTACAATCTCACCAGTTACAGTAGCACCATTCACGCTAGTTTCTGACACAATCAAGTACAGTACAGTATGTACAAATAAAGTCCTGGGCTTTAGAATGAGATACAACATGTCTATCGGCTGATCTGAAATTGTGAACTTATGTTTATGATCCCAAAGACTACTTTGGGTAGGCAAGACAGAGGACCCACACTGAGGGCATGCCATGATGTCACAGGTAGTGAAAGTGATCAAAGTTCAGAAGTGAAGTTGAAATATCTTTTTCGCCACGTCCTCTCGTTAGAAGTGAAATTGTCAGAGCTATTGTTCAGGAGTGTTTGGAGCCGCTAGTTTGCGTGTGCCTTGTTTGTAGTTGTTGTTTCTGTTGGGATCCTCCTGGCTGGGTGTCTCCTCTGTAGTGTAATCATGTGGAAACTGTTGCGTTGTTTGCATCATTCATTGGGCAAGCTTCTCTTTGCTCTTGTTTAAACACACCTTCCTCTCCGGTGGCTAGCTGTCAATCAAGAACCATCCAAACAATACACTCCTTTCCAAAATTCCCAAAGCATTTTTAAGTTTTGTAGTGCCATCTTTTCTACTTGACCTGTTTGCTGACTTGATAATTCCCCAGTTGCACTTTCCAACACTTTTGCCACATTTACCGGACTTTGAATGTGCATGTCCTGTGGCGTCTCTCCCTCGCTTGCATTCTTGGATTGTATCTTGAATTTTCCTTTCTTCTCCAACCCTCACGTTGCTCCCTGCCTTAGTTGAGCAGACAGTAGAAGGAGCACAGGGCGCCTCAGGCAAGAGCAGACAGAGGAGCCACACTGTCCAACCTCCCCTTCTCCGGAGAGCCAAACTAATGCAGACACGCCAATAAGCTGTAAGCACACAATTATTCACCATTTATATCAGCTCTGCGTCTGCATGAGTTAGTGCCACACACATCTGGCTCCCCTGCCTGTGTTACAGCACTACAAGATCTGTTCAATGGGGGACGCACATATAGAAATCCCTCTCGTGTATTTACATTTAGCATGTTTCTTTTTTTTTTGTCGTACTGATAAGCCATTAGTTGAATATATTCTCTTCAGACTATAGATTGTATATAGATGGACAATGCTAACCTGCTAGCTCAATGAAGCCTAATAGCTCACAAGATAAGAGATAAGATACAATAAAACTTTATTGTACCTCACAATGGAGGAATTTACATGTTACATTTGGCTTAAATAGGATGACTCAGGGTGTGCAAAAAGACAGGAAATGTGCAAACATATTAAAACAAGTGAAAATATAGTGTATTTTGCTCAATAAAGGTATTTTGTGTCTTAAAATTAAAAGTGACTACAGCAGTGCAACGTTTGCAGTCCCAGTGCAGGTCATTAATTGACTTATTGTACAGTCTGACAGCGGTGGGCCAAGTTTTGCTACAATTTGACTCTGGGTCCCATTGAAACGTAAAGTCCTGTAGCTATATAACCGCTTGTTTCACACACGTCATTTTGGAGTTTAAAATCCATGGTTTAATGTTCTCTAATCCTGCTGTTTTTATTTTGATGTATTTGTAAATCTAGCTATGAGCCCTAACAACTGACCAACCAAATTTGACTTAAACTCTCAGTCGGAAACGCACTGGCATCACTCCTGATTGGCTCCTTGGTTGCTAGACCGGTGCCACCTACATCATTCGGCCTCAGATTCCTGCCCATGGAGGTTGTTTGAGTAAGATTTAAGTCCTTTCTTCTGCAATGAGACAAACAATATAGACTTGAATATAGGGCTGAAACAACTAACTCGATTAATCGACGACTAATCGATTATTGAAATAGTCGACAACTATTTTAGTAATCGATTAATCGTTTTCTGGTTCACACGGACTCAAACAAAGCAAAAATGAAATGAAAATGTTGTATTTTTGATTAAAACCGACTGTTACGGCTCCAGGTCTGGGCCGTTTTGCGCAAGCACCTCCTCCCTCTCCCGGTGCGTCTCTCTCTGTCTGTGTGTCCGGCTCGTTCCCGCGAAGTCTAGGGCCCGCCTCCCGGATGCTGCCATTCGCCCGGAGTCCTCCTGTATGGCCAATAGGAGCTCCGCCCGAACCAATCTGCGCCACCAGCTGACCTGCCCGCGGCCAATAAAACAGCGGTGTGACGTCCAGACGGGGCGGCTTGTTTCCCACACAAGTGCGCCAGCCTTGAGAGACAGACGTGTGGTGGGGAGCTGACACCATTTGAGAGACGTTACATGACCGTACGAGACCTTACGAGACCTTATTAGAATTGTGGTGATTTGTTACCTGTCGAAGGAACCCCTTTTGTTTAGTTTTCTGACTCTAAGTTTTGTCCAGGACGTTACCTTTTCTGCCTAGAAATACAAGGCCAATTACTTTCACCAATTACATCTGGTTGTGTATGTTGCATTTCCTTTCCCCTTCTCAGAGCCAAGTTTAGGGCTGTAACATATATTGGGGGCTCGTCCGGGATCCTGTTTTAAAACATTCCCGACAACAGTGAATGGACATTTACTTTGGGTAGGTGAAGGTGAATTGTATTTGGGCATTTTCAAAATGGTGTTTGACTTCGAGGCCTTCGTGGAAGAGCCTTCCCTTGAGGAGTTGAACAAATGCAAAAAGAAAGACCTCATAGCACTTGCTGTGCATTTTAATATTCTATATTCCAAACAGAGCAGAAAGGACGAGATCCGGGCGCTGCTTGTGGATGGCTTGGTGGAGTTGGGCCTGCTCTCGCAACCAGTGGCTTCTGAGGGGACTGATGAGAGTATCGTGCCTGCGGGAACCCCAAAGCGGGAGGAGAAACCTGGACCTTCAGATGGTTCTCCCCCTGGGACAAAGAGAGCGGGCGCGGGGGTTGATGAACCGCCTAACCCTCTGTTCACCCTCCCCCGGTATGACCCACACTCTCCTCCCACCTCTCCTCGGTCCTTGGATGCTGCCCGACGCGCTGTGCGCCTGGCCCGCATTAAAATGGAAGCTGAGCAGAAGGAACGGGACCGCAGTGCCGAGCTCGAATTTCAGGTGCGCAAGCTCGAGATAGAGGCTGACAAAGACGTCAAACTGCGCCGCCTTGAGCTGGAGGCTGAAGGTCGCCTCCCTCCCAGTCCTACTCCCGGCCCTGGGCCCACCGCGCAGGCTGCAGCCCACTCCCCATCCGTTCACGGCGGCGCCCTCGATGTAAGTAAATTTATTCCCCTTGTACCACCCTTCAGAGAGGGAGAAGTGGATTCATATTTTGCTGCATTCGAGCGCATCGCCTCGGCCTTAAACTGGCCACGCGATATTTGGCCTCTTTTGCTCCAATGTAAAATGTATGGGAAAGCCCAAGAAATCATTGCAGCCATGCCTCTTGCTGACAGTCTGCGGTACGAAGCAGTCAAGAGCGCCATACTAAGGGCATATGAGCTGGTCCCTGAGGCCTACAGGCAAAGGTTCCGAAGCCATAAAAGGGCCCAAAGCCATACCTACATTGAGTTTGCGAGGGAGAAAGGAATGTTATTTGACAAGTGGTGTTCGTCTGCTAAAGCTCAGAGTTTTGCTTCGTTACGTGACCTTATGTTGCTGGAGGATTTTAAGAGAAGCCTCCCGGACCGTGTTGTGGTGTATCTGAATGAGCAGAAGGTGAAGACCATTTCGGATGCTGCTGTTTTAGCTGACGAATTTGTGCTGACTCACAAATCCGTGTTTGGCGGAGGGCCTGACAGGCCTCGCGCACCTGCTCCTAGGCCTACTTCTCCGAGGACTGACAGGACGGGCCCGGACGAAAGGGAATGCTACTACTGCCGCACTGCTGGGCATCTTGTTGCCACGTGTCCTGTACTCAGACGCAGACCAGGCTCTCCGAAACCTAAAGGTCTTGGGCTAATCAAAACTGAGGTTAGCCTAGCTCCTAGCACCTGCCAAGACCCAGATTCGTGTTTTGACCCATTCATCTTTGAGGGAATAGTTTCTCTGCCTGGCAACGCACCTGACCAAAGACCCATCCGCATTTTGAGAGACACTGGCGGGTCTCAGACGTTAATCTTAGCCAGTGCCCTCCCCTTTTCTGAGCAGTCCTCGTGCGCGTACAAAACTGTGCTACGGGGAATAGAAATGGGTTACTGCCCGCAGCCAGTACATTTGGTGCACATCGAGTCCAAACTCGTAAATGGGACATTTCCCGTTGCTGTTTGCAACGCGTTGCCAATTTCAGGGATTCACATGTTGATGGGAAATGATGTGGCCGGGGGCCTGGTAACTCCACCCTTGGAAGTGGCTGATTCCCCGCTGGACAGTATGGATATTTGCTCTACTGAGATTTATCCTGCGTGCGCGGTTACGCGTGCCCAAGCCCGCCGTAATCTCGGAGATGATGTTAGTTTGTCTGACACATTTTTATCTGACATTTCAGCAGATTTTGTGCCTACAGCTGAGACCCAGGCTTCCCAAAGCTCGACTCCGCGGAAGGCCGCGTCTCCAAAAATTGACAACCCAGCTCTGCCTTGTTCACGTGGGCGGCTCATTGCAGAGCAGAGATCTGACCCAACGTTACACAACTTGGTTTCCAGTGTGGTGAGTAGCGAACAATGTGACAAAGCTCAGATCTGTTACTTCTTGCGCAAGGGTGTGTTAATGCGTAAATGGTCTCCCCACGACACCCATGACAATGTGTTTGCGGTCTACCAAATAGTTGTGCCCTCCTGCTACCGTAATCAGATTACAGCAGTGGCACATGAAAGCGTGTGGTCGGGGCACCTAGGCGTTACAAAAACTTACAAATCGCTGTTAAGACAGTTTGTGTGGCCTGGGATGAAAAAGGACGTGGCCGAGTTTTGCCGCAGCTGTCACGTGTGTCAGATGGTGGGAAAGCCCAACCAGCCAATCCTAGCAGCTCCTTTACATCCCATACCTGTTATTGATCAGCCTTTTGACCGCGTCATAGTTTACTGTGTGGGGCCTCTGCCCCGCACACAGAATGGTAAGGTATTTCTACTTACTATAATGTGTGCTGCCACGCGTTTCCCAGAGGCCATCCCGATGCGTAAAATCACCGCGCAATCCGTAGTCAAGGCGTTGCTGAAATTCTTTTCAGTATTTGGACTCCCAAAATTCATACAGACAGACCAGGGAGCGAATTTCAAGTCTAACCTGTTTGCACAAGTGGTTCAAACACTTGGGGTAAAACATGTTCTGTCCAGCGCGTATCACCCTGAGTCACAGGGTGCTCTGGAGCGTTGGCACCAGACGCTTAAATCCATGCTGCGCAAGTACTGTATGGAAACTGAAAGAAATTGGGATCAAGGGATCCCGTTCGTGCTGTTTGCAGCCCGGGATGCGACTCAGGAGTCTTTGGGGTTCAGCCCCGCTGAGTTGATATTTGCCCACACTCCCCGGGGCCCGCTCAAAGCGCTGAAGGAAGCTTTTCTTTCTTCACCCCCCCCAGCCAATGTTTTAGATTTCGTAAGCACATTCCGTGAGCACGTACTGAAAGCAAATTTACTCGCTAGGGCTGCCCTACAGACTGCACAGGCAAAAATGAAGCGTCAGGTTGATAAGAGGACGCTGGCTCGCTCATTCAAAGCGGGAGATGAGGTGCTCGTTTTGATACCCGTGCAGGGGGATACGCTCTCTGCTAAATATACCGGTCCTTATGTGGTTAAGGAGAAACTGTCTGATACTGACTATATTATCAGCACGCCGGACAGGAGGCGAAAAACCCGCGTGTGCCACATTAATATGTTGAAGCAGTATCACTCCCGCGTTACACCGACCACGACGGAGCCCTCCCTTCAGAGTGTCTCCGCTCTGATTGTGGCTGACCAGGCCGCTGAGAGCGGACTGAAGATGCGTAAGGAGCATAGTCCGCGTCTCCCGAACTCTGAAATGCTTACGGTTTTACCTGCCCAACTGAAGCATTTGAGCGCTGACCAGCAGGCTGACGTTCTGGCTGTTGTGGGACGATTCAGATGTCTGTTTGGGGACGTACCAAGTTGCACCAATGTATTGGCACATGACGTAGACGTGAAGGACGCGCGTCCCATTCGCCAGCATCCGTATCGGGTGAACCCCACAAAACGCGCGCTGATGAAGCAGGAGGCTGAGTATTTATTGGCCAATGGTCTGGCTAAACATAGCACTAGCGCTTGGAGTTCACCCTGTTTGGTGGAGGAAAAACCTGATGGCTCGCCTCGCTTCATCACGGATTTCCGTAAAGTTAACGCTGTCACTGTCCCTGACTCATATCCCATGCCCCGCATGAAGGATTGTGTGGACAACCTCGGTCCTGCTAAATACGTCACTAAATTGGATTTGTTGAAAGGTTACTGGCAAGTCCCGCTGACTAAGCGCGCGTCGGAAATATCGGCGTTTGTAACGCCTGATTACTTCCTGCAATATACCGTGATGGCGTTTGGAATGTGCAACGCTCCCGCAACTTTTCAACGCCTGATTAATGTCGTTCTACAGGGCCTGCCCAGTTGTAATGCTTATCTGGACGACTTATTGATCCACTCCGTTACCTGGAAGGAACACGTACACGTCCTACAGCAGGTGTTTTCCAGATTGGCAGCTGCCTCACTCACCCTAAACCTCGCTAAATGTCAGTTCGGGAAGGCTCACGTTACATATTTGGGACGTGAGGTTGGCCAGGGCCAAGTCCGACCTATTGAGGCTAAAGTTTCCGCGATAGACGCCTATCCGCCTCCCACCACTCGGCGTGAGCTGCGCCGCTTCCTGGGCATGGCTGGGTACTACCGAAGTTTCTGCCGAAATTTCTCATCAGTGGTTGTCCCACTGACCACCTTATTGAGTCCTAAAGTTGATTTTAAATGGACTACTGAGTGTCAATCCGCTTTTGACAGCGTGAAGTCTCTGCTGTGTCATGCACCTGTCCTCGCTGCTCCTGACCCGTTGCGCCCCTACAAGCTTGAAGTGGACGCTAGTGGGGTCGGAGCAGGTGCAGTCCTGATGCAGGAGGATGCGAGTGGGGTTACCCATCCGGTAGGTTACTTCTCCCGTAAGTTTAATACACACCAGCTCCGCTACTCCACCATAGAAAAGGAGACTTTGTCACTGTTGCTCGCTCTCCAGCACTTCGAGGTGTACCTTGGGTCCAGTTCTGTGCCAATCATTGTGTTTACCGACCATAACCCTGTAACCTTTTTGTCCCGCATGTATAATCACAACCAGAGACTGATGCGATGGGCCTTGATGGTGCAGGACTTTCCGTTAGAGATTCGACATAAAAAGGGATCGGAGAATGTGTTTGCCGATGCCTTGTCCAGATAAGTGTGGTGGCTGCATAAATTTGTGTGTGTTCTGATGTTTGTTTTGTTCAGAGAAAAATGTTAGGGTGGACAGTGTCTTGAGGGGTGGGGTGTTACGGCTCCAGGTCTGGGCCGTTTTGCGCAAGCACCTCCTCCCTCTCCCGGTGCGTCTCTCTCTGTCTGTGTGTCCGGCTCGTTCCCGCGAAGTCTAGGGCCCGCCTCCCGGATGCTGCCATTCGCCCGGAGTCCTCCTGTATGGCCAATAGGAGCTCCGCCCGAACGAATCTGCGCCACCAGCTGACCTGCCCGCGGCCAATAAAACAGCGGTGTGACGTCCAGACGGGGCGGCTTGTTTCCCACACAAGTGCGCCAGCCTTGAGAGACAGACGTGTGGTGGGGAGCTGACACCATTTGAGAGACGTTACATGACCGTACGAGACCTTACGAGACCTTATTAGAATTGTGGTGATTTGTTACCTGTCGAAGGAACCCCTTTTGTTTAGTTTTCTGACTCTAAGTTTTGTCCAGGACGTTACCTTTTCTGCCTAGAAATAAAAGGCCAATTACTTTCACCAATTACATCTGGTTGTGTATGTTGCATTTCCTTTCCCCTTCTCAGAGCCAAGTTTAGGGCTGTAACACCGACTTTGTTTTTATAATTTCATGAATAAGTTTAAGATTTGCTTTATTTATCTCACATAGGAGAAATTTACATGTCACATTTGGCATGGATAGAACACTCAGATTGTACAAAAGGAGGAAATGTGCAAACATGTAACATGCAGGATATATATCTGTCTGTCTCATCCAATTAGATAGCAGAATTAGCACAAAGAGCCTGTTACAAACATTTACTTTAAGTTTACGCCATCAATACGTCCTCGAGTATTGCCACTTTAGCTTTTTGTGATGAAAAAATATTTTTTTTCTACACAATTCACAGCCAAGCGATTACTCGATTCATCGTAAAAATAATCAATAAATTAATCGATTACAAAATAATTAGTTGCAGCTCTACTTGAATAGTTGCTGAATAATAGATTTCTCTGAAGAATCTGTTGTTGGTTCCGAAAGTTTGAGCTTTTATACATTCTATGCAGTTCATTCATTGGAATACTGTTATCTGTATCAAAACTAAAATAGCTAGATTGCTTAATATTTTTCAACATGAATTGTCTGAATGTTTTGCACTGTCACTGTCCACTAGCCACATTATGCCAATAGCATTTCCTCTTCAACTTTGAAGCTTTCATCGAAATGACATATTGTGATTTTTGTCAACTTAATGTATTATCTGAATGATTGACTGCGCTGCTCCAAAAGCATGAAGAAAAAAAAATCTAACTCCACAGCAGATTTGTTTTGTCACTTTTAACGACTCTTTTGATTAATACTTTATATACGCTATTACCAGTGTTTGTATTTTTCATGGCGAGTAGAATATTTGTGTTTCTTTCCTTCTACGCTCTCTTTAAGGAGGAAGCGAGGTATTCACACGTACAAATGACAGTGGACAGGCGGACCCCGGACCTTTGAGCTATTTAACACGCGTCCCACATAAGAAAGCATGCAGAGACAAAATCACATCGAGTTTCTTCTCTTTGACGTGTATTCCCTGTGAGCGAACGTGTTTGGCGCCACGGTGAGCTCAGGTCTAAGGTGACCCGGCAGCTCACTCCTCATCTGTCTGTGGATGAGAACAGTTGTGGAACATCGGGGAGATTTGTTAGTGCTGTAAATCAATGCAAGTCCCATCACCATCAGCACAGATTTCTTAGGAGTTTAGACATGGCAACCCCCCAACACCACCCCGCCCCCCCTCACGCTCTTCTCGCCCTCCCTCTCAGTGGAGGAGCAGGTCAAGCAAAGCCATCTGAGGCTGCAGCAGAAGCACGTGTACAAACTCAGGGTCAGTCATGTGTGCTTGCAACACAGCTGCACCACTTCTCTTTCATCTTATTTGCATGTTGTTATTGAATGATCCAGTGAAAACATTCCTGAGGTCATTTGTTACCAATTCTCACAGTCAACATTACATTAAAGGCCTGCCTGACAAAGTTACTGTATTTTCTTATTAAAAACTTATTATAAAACTTCCCTCATTGTAAAGGTCTATTCCTATGTCCTGATGGTAATATTTTAATCATTATAATTAGGGGTGTGACAATATATCAATATGTCGCGATACTTTCTCCCGTGATTTGATTATCGATATGCATTTTCCAAGTATCGATATCGATTTTGAAAATTGGCATCAATACTTAATATATGGCTACATTACGCATCTCCATTCCATTTATCATGAAATAAAGTGTATTTTTTCTTTTATTTTATGCCATAAATTGGCATATTGTATATTTCTGACCAATATATCGATAATCGTCATATCGTGATAATATCGTTATCGTGAGCTTTGTATTGTGTATTGTAACGTATCGTGAGGTACCCTTAGGTTCCCACCCCTAATTATAATATTAACATATTTTATGGAAATACATTTCACATGCCATTTCTTTATTCTCTGTCTGCTGTAAATTACACCATTTTTTATAAGGCTCCCTGTTCAGCTTTGAGGGCCACATATCCTCAGATATTAAAAAGAGAGCTTTTACTATTTCATAATCGTAATAGCAATTCTGAAAAGCCACAATAACTACTATCATGGGTTTATGCCCTCAGATAATGTATTAAATTAGTTAGTGAATTATATTGACAAAAGGTTTGTTATTTAGGAAAATACACTTTTGCCAGATTCCAAAATACACCATTTCTAAATTAGTAGAGTGCATGCATGTTTTAGATGTCAATTTGAGGAAAAGGTAAGATGATATTAACACTGTGGAATCTTAGTTATATTTCATAATTACTCCCTCAGCATCTTAATGATCACAATATTACCTCATGCAATATGCAAAACATTTAACACATTTCAACCCCAAAACCATAAAATTCCAGATAATGTGATTCCAGTTTGGCTTAGATCAGGCTATAACTTTGACCTGATGTCTCGAGGTGAGCCTGTGGTTAGCCCTGTGGCATTTCTCTCTCTTTTTGATTGTCTCCAATTCCCAAAATGCAGAGAGTGATCTATTGGTAGATGATGTCAGACTAGGACATACAGAATCTCATGTGTCTTCCGGAAACTCATTGCATCATCTTTTCGGAGCGGTGCAGTTGAACATTTACTGTATTCAGTGTGATTCGGGGACTGAAGGCTAAATGATGCAAACCATATGATGTTTGTGTGCGGATGGCCTTATTAAATATGTAGCTAGTCGGCTCCTGTCTCCGGCCTGTCCTCATGGCTACCTCTGTGTGTTTCAGCCCCTGCCAATGCCCAGATCGTGCACTCAGGCGCAGCTTGTAACGTCAAGGATGATAACATCAGCGAGAGGATCTACACCATCAAAGAAGGAGACACACTAGTGCTGCAGTGCATAGTCAAAGGACACCCGCGGCCACAGGTGAGCTCTGCCAACGACACACCTCAAAACACAACCACGGATCAAAGAACACAACCTCCAAGACAAATGCAGACAGATCACTTTAAATATGTAATGTCAATACATATGAGGAGGCCATTTGTTTTAAGCGCCATTCATTCTCAGAGGCCGTATCCTCCTGCCCTTGGATCTGGGTAAATAGCATAGACTGTATATATGTAGAAAATACAAACATGCTGGCTCAATGAAGCTTAAAAGGGAAGTACTCATGGATGTAGTTTTGCTCCAGCACGCTTTGGCTTCTATGGTCTTCTCTTGAAAAGTTAACACGTTTGCTCTATAACTGTGTGTCACACTCAGCTAACAACAGACAAATCCTGTGTCTACTTGATTTGGCTCCAGATTCCTGCTTATAGAGCTGGTTTAAATTAGCTTCAATCAGCTTTTTTCCACATTCGCTGCTCGGTTAGTTCATTCACCCTACAGTCTATGGTAAATAAATATATATATATCATTATAAAGGAATAAAAAATGATAATATAATAGTTAAAAATCTAAAATAGATTTACATCATTAATAACTCATATACGTATGGTTGTTAATATAATCCATCATTATTGTGACCACTAATAGCATTAAATCCATAACAAGTAACAAATGATCAAGTTAAAAGATTGGTGACTAGTTGTGTTGACAGTGATGGGTATTTGTAATTATTGAAGAAAAGGTTCAAGTTTTCTTTCATTGCCTTGGGATTAGTTGAATATTGTGATGTTTATATTGCTGTTTGTATAGTCACTGGAACATGACAAAATAACTGTCATATCTTTTTGATCATGCAGTAAATGAATGTATTGAATGTATCAAATTCTTCAGTACACAATGGGTAGGTGCAAACAAGCTTAAGCTTCTGCCTACTCCTTTTGAGCATCATATCCACGCTATTTATTTATTTAATTATTTACGTATTTACTTACGCCTACCTATTTTTGGCTTTGATTACTGTGCTGAACTTTGTATATAAGTAGAACTGTGTGGAACTCAGATGCTCAAATAAAAAAGATGAATTGAATTGATTATGCATATTAGATTCAAGAATTTTGCTATGTATAATGTAACATTTGTTATATAGTTTATTTTGTATTGTTATAGTTTTAAACCCGGTAACATTTTGTTGTAGCGTGGCATAAAAAGGCCTTGAAGTGTAAGAAGTGACAGTCTGTTGTATAGTAGAAGGAAAGCCAATCTAGTGCTGCCTATTGCCAGGTACAGATAAAATGCAATGAATAATGAACAGAAGGAGCTGATTGAGGCCTGTTTGCTGTTTCCGTGTGCAGTCGGATAGCACCTCTGCTTTTACTCTCTCACACGCCTGACACAGCCGCAGGTCTTGACACTTGGATGGTGTTGTTATAGTGCATGAACACCTTTGAAAATTTGCCAAAACAACTTGTTACTCTCAGATTCACATCAGAGAGAAGAGTGGATGATGATCTTGTCTGAGCGCTGCTTTTATAATTTCATATTTCATTAGTTTATTATTATTAGTTTATTACAGAAGAGGGAGAAGGGCTAACAATTTGGAATGATTGAACGTTGTGTTTATGAGTTTACATTTGGTAAAAAGCAAAAAGCCATAGTTTCAGATTGTAGCCCTTTCCAGAATTACGACAAATCCCTTGTGTTGGAACGTCTAATATAAAATGTAAAATCTTGACAGCATGTGCATATTTGTGTAAAAGTGTATGAGGTGCGAAAAGCAGTGTTCGTGGTGGATGCATGTCCACTGACATCATGTCACCATGAATAAAACAGCGCTGCAGCGTCTATGCCCTCAGCGCCGTGGCCGCATTGACAATTGTTATTTTTCTACATTGAACATCGAAACCTATCCTACAACTCAGAGCTTACAAGCTGCTTGTGTTGCTTGAGTGTGCATGTAGAGATCCTTGTAACATGGGGTCAAGTGTAATCATGCTGCAACATGAGGTGAAGGTGCAACAATGAATGCTCATTGTTGTACCACCACCTCATGGTGTCTCAATGAAATCCACCTGTGTCCATAACATCCACCTGCCCACACCAGAACCCCATTGCCAGCATGGGTCACTCAACCAACAACTCTAACAACAGCAAAGCTCTGTGACACATCGCTGTCTGCCAACTGCCCTGAACTGTTAAATCCAGGATCCATCATGAAACAGACGTCATCAAATGTGAGCTTTTCTCCTCTCATGACGGTTACAGCCAGTCAGGTGGAGACTCTGATTAGGACAACGAGCTGCATATCAGCCTCCCTGAGGCGGTTTCTGAGAGTGTGTGCAGAAACTCTTTGCTTCTGTAAACTGATTGTTGTAGCAGCTTTGAGGCTGGACTCAGACGGTCTTTGAGGAGAGCATTCTGGATGTGGAAGTCCTGGACTGGTGCTTTAATGTGTTGAAAGTACACGTTTGAAATTAAATGTATTAAAATAATCATTCTGTTTAAACACTTGAGGTGGGAAGGATTGTTACAGCAAAAAAGTGCTTGTTGAAGATTTTAAAACAATATTATATGCTAGAGATCGACAATACGTTCAGAGCTTTATGAGTTGAACCCATGAGGAGCAGGAGCAAAGAGTGCCCTGACCTCTGTGTGAGTGGAAGGGCTGAAGCTGCACAGCTTGTGGTCTCTTTGGGAGGACAGAGTTTCCTCCGTGTTTCATGGCAGTATTGATAACCTGATCCTCACATCTCACATTCACCCTCCACTTCTGCACATATACCTCCATTCTGTCATTCAGGCTTTTCACAAGGACAAATCTGAGTCTGAAAAACACATACTGTAGATATTAGTGGCTTGTCCAATGAACACATGGCAGCAATGTTAAAAGTCATATTTTGTAATTATTGAATGATTATAAAAATAAATAATCAAGCCAACAATACATTCTTTTAGGATCAAAACCATACAACCTGGAAATATTCTGGAAAAGCACCCAGTCTAAAGATAGAATATTCACTTTGTTACAAAGGAACTGAACAAGACAGAACCACATTCATTGTGTTGGCTGTGATTGCATTAACTCCTTCTTAGCGGATTTTGATGACATTTTGATGAAATTGTGCCGGTTTAACAAAGTTAAGTCCTCTAAAATATTCAGTTTGGAGACAAACTGAACTTTGTCTTACTTTTCCACCCTCTCAGAGAACTTACTATTGGCCTGGAGGTGTTGGCATGCACTCTAGAGGTTTAGTCTTCTGCCTGCTGCCTTATTATTTATACATGTACTCCAGTTTGGCATGAATGTCCTCATAACACACTCTCCCATCACACAAACAATGCAGGCGCTTATGTTTTTGTGTGTTTTTTTACATTATTGAATAATGTGAAGACCTGCAGAGTCTTAAAGTCATATTGGATCACAATCACTATATCATTCTTCTTGTTTATTAATAAGCTTATTATCTCTATTTTCAGATTTTATATTGGGATGAAATACCTTAATAATGTTTTTGGCTTTTTATTGTGATGTTTCTAAAATGAGTGTCTCCAAAAACCAATATCCTTGTGTCTACTCTCATTTTAATTGGAGAACTTTAGACACTACTTCAAAAAACACAAAATACCCATCTCTTTCCTTGGATACACCCTCATTTGTATTGTTGATAACACCCATTATAAGAGAAAATAAAACTTGTATTTGTCCCTAAGTAGGGAAATATCAATGTCATAGACCCTGTTTACACGGAGACACTGTGACAGTAAAACGATAGTTTTGTTTTGTGCACAGCCTGTTTGTGTTTCACGGGCGTGAGAACACAAGCTTTGGAATCAAAGGTGCAAACGCTCTGACTGTGATGACCGCTTCCCCACCACATGCAGAAAGTAGAAACTCAAACTTAAACAATAACAGCGGCGTTGCACTGTTGCAATGCATTGTTTAATCTCTTAAAACAGAACCGATGCATCGTGTCTGTCGCCTCTTGGATTGGCACATGATAGCATTAAATGTAATTCTATTATGTCCAAGATTCCAGACAAAAGCACAAATCAGTAGACCTTTCTTTTTGCACGATACAAAACTTGTAGTGCACCTTTTAAGGTAATGAAAATTGGCAAATTGTGGTAAACTCCTCTTATGAAAGTAAATCAGTGCAAAGTCCTCAAAAGCATCAATCCTCCACTTCCTCGGGAGCAAATGTGTCATGCATGTGTGGAGTGTGCAATCTCTCTGCTTCAGGAGTTTGAAAGTATTTGAAAAAGAAAAAATCTTACAAAAGGCTTTTCCAAATCTAGACTATAGTTGAAAAAATAATAGAAAGTGCAAGATCATTTAGAAGGCGCTTGTGAGATCTTTCAAGTTAACTCCAGACACAGTGGGCTTTGCGTTAACAAAGCTCTCCCCTGCTCCAAACACACACACTCCAACAGCCCCACACATTCAGACTCCAGCAAGAACACAATAGGGGAGTAAATGGTTTTTCTGAAAGTGATTCCTACCGCCTTATTATTTATTCATGGCTCTGCTGGTCATTGCAACCTTGAGACCAGTTTGTGCGTGATGAATTCCATTGGAGAGGGCCATACAAGGGAAAAGTAAAGAGCCGAAGCAAAGCGGGGCGGGGGGAGATGAGAGCTGCGGTCTAGAATATGGTTTTGGATTTCCGTCCTTGAGGGGAAAGTGGATCGATCGATAGTCTAGCTGAAAGCAAGGCTGATCGGGTGGCAGTGGCTTGGATGCAAACAAGGTCACAATTTTAACCTCTGCACCTGTAATGTATGTGGATGTGAGTACATAAATATGCAGAAGTTCATCACTAAGCTAAATAATTTGTCATTCCTCCAAAGAGTTTTCCTGCAGATAATCAAACTTGGCGAGGAACGAAGGCAGCACAGCAGGTAGGATAAAAATAGCTAAAGAGGACATGATAAAGGAAAGGAGACAGGAACATATGTTGATGAAGGTTTGTTAGAAGCACATCCAACATCTGCTGGATGCATTTTGTCAAGAAATTTGACTTTGCTCCTCAGCTTATGAA